CAAGCCAGCCAGCCCAATCATCACTTCTTTCGATATTGTGCACACCAAAACAGACAACAGGAAAAGAAGACGAAATAATTACCATTTACAAAACAAATTGCATACAACAACTGCAATAAACATTACATCGGTCGAAGTAAGCGTGCCCCCCTCTTAGAATTCGAATCCAAGAACATGAATTTGCTGTAAAAACACATGATATACATATTCTTTCATATCAATGCATGTAGATAATTGCGGACGCCAATTTCATTAGGATAATGTGGAAATTTTGAACAGGGGGGGGGGAAGCACCGAAAATGCAGTCAAGGAATTTGTAGCACCCTGCTACTCAAGTGAGTTAGCTAGCGATTAACAAACGCATTATTATAGACCGAATTTACCAGCTGCTAATAACAAGTAAATCATCACATGACTAGAATGCTCAAATTCCAAATCAATAAAAATGATCAATAGAGATGCAAGTCAACAACCAGTGAGGACAATGGTTACCAGGAGATACAACTATATCTTCATTCATAGGGAATTCAAATGACTTTATTCCATCCTAAAACCCGCGATGAAGGAAGCCTGTTGTCTAGATGGACTACGAAAGCTTCTCAATTGAATCAACCAGATCAGAGAACACAACTAATTCAAGATCCTCTCACTGGGCTACAAATCTTCTCCATCATTTCCAAATAGTTATAATTAGCTAAAATTGAAAAGTTTAGAATGACAATCACGATGACCAATCAGAACGCAACTAAAGATCTTGCAGCAATTAAAGCGTGATGAGAATCCAGGCAGGTGATCCAAGAAGAATGCCAATCCTGTATGCATTCAGTCAATAGGTAGACGAATACATTATGATCAAAGTGATTCCAAGCTTATGAAGTAAAAGGAGGATGCGAAGTGCTGGCTAAAAATCTATGTAGAACTGCAGTAGAAACACTCCGTTATCTCACCTTTAGTCATCAAGTCCTAAACTATTCGCTTATTTGATACAACGAAATAAAATTTCATACTATAATAAACAATGAACATTGTTAAAAATATTCATTCAGTGAATACAAAACGACACATCTAATAGTATGACATTACATTGTCGTCAATAGTCCAGCGGTAGAATGCTCGCGAACCATTACAGTTCGCCCCTCGGCCGATGGATTCCTAAATTCTCGATTAAGCGGTACTAAGCCGAGCAATGTTTGCGAATAATGCAAGCGCAACCTCTGCCCTGTAAAAAAAGGAAATGAACACCACTGCTAAAGAGACTCTAAAGCTGTAGCTTGAAGACCTACTTTCCACTCAAAACGCAAAAGGATGAAATGACAAATGTATTGCTGTCAGACTACCCAAGTTCTGTTGTAATCAGTTGACTTCTATGCTGATGATCGATTCACTTATCAGAGTGAAACACATTGCAGAAAAATGCATTAGTCCAAATTGCCACATGTTAGTGTAGGGGAAAAACGTAGTGAAAATACACTGGGAGGATATGTTTGGCAAACGTAGTAATCATATGTACATTATACAGCATTTTCAGTATCTTGATGTTAACAAGGCGTGAATACATACATATCTTCGGGCATCATATTACCAATAATCACTAGCCATTGTTTCTTAGCATCCCGAAACTCATAGTCATGTATTCTGCACTTTCTTGCAGCTCAAACCAACAGCCAAAGACTAGAGATTAGTCAGATGCTCTGACTGGATAAACGGTCACATACATCAGAGCATAGCTAACTATAGCTGGAAAACATATCGCTTGCCGACAGCTCACAACACTAAGAGTGACATTCTCTAGCCGTCCAATACTTCGAAACAACGCTAAGGACAAACTCTCGCATATGACCAATTTAATGTACACATACCAATTCACGTTGTCGTGCGGAGCTAGGTACATTGTATGTGCGTCGTTCCCGAACGTGTTAGAGAACATTACCCAGCGTGGTTGCAAAGAGAAGGCACCGATTCAATCAGAAGTGGCATTATTGAACATCTGATCAACACCTCCCACAACATCTCAACTGATTCATTCAAAGTAATTTAAAAAGTCAACAGAAACCTACCAAAAGTAGTGTGTTTCCGACTTCTCTGTACTGCAGAAGCCCTTGCAATATGCATCGAGAAGCCAGAGCTGTGTGTTCAAAAGAAATTAGTTCAACCTCTACAACTACCATGGATCTAGTTCCGGTATGTTCGCTTAGCTTCCGTTTTTTTCGACCTTTTTTCGTTCGCTGTGTGTGCGATTCCTACTCCCTCTGTCTTCATTGATTTCCCCTCATTTTTAAGTCATAAGAACAGCTATTTTAAGTTTGTTTCCATGCTTTCCTGCTCACATTTGTAATTCGTTTAAAATAACTATTTTACAATTATATCCTAATCCTGCGTAATTTTTGTTTTTAATGCTCTTGTAAACCATATCTAGTTGAAAATAATTGTCACTTTTTAGTCGCCTTCATAATATGTGGAATCAAGTAAAAAAATTGTTTCAGGATTTCATCATGAGCTGGCATTAGTTAGAGAACCACTGGAAAACCTGGGAGTACTGGACAGCTGCTTCGTTCTAGTTTGGGACTCTTCAGCACTACGCACCCACCGGGATTCGAACCCAGGACCTTCTGGTTACAAGGCGAGCTCGTATACCATTAAGCCACTGGGACCCGATCCAATGGTCCTTGAATTCTAACTTCTGCTAATTCACGACATAGCGCGACCGCTAGCCAATGTCTTAGGCGAGTATTTGTCCTCACACCCGACCTGCCACATCCTACTGGTCAAGACTTCCCACTGGAACCCAGGTAACTACCTACCTGAATAGGGCCAGTCGCCAGTGAGCATCTCATTGGTATTCAAGTGGTGGTCCCAGTGGCTTAATGGTATGCGAGCTCGCCTTGTAACCGGAAGGTCCTGGGTTCGAATCCCGTTGGGTGCGTACTGCCAAAGAGTCCCAAATTAGGACGAAACAGCTGTCCAGTACTCCCAGGTTTTCCAATGGTTCTCTAACTAATGTCAGCTCATGATGAAATCCTGAAACCAATCAAATCCCTACAAACCACCACTTAAAAAATTGTGTCTATATAAAATTATGTATTTACAGCTTTTGAAATTGAAAGATATCTTTGGTGAACTTCGTGTTCTATTCTTTCTAATGTCCTTATGGGTGTTTTCCACCAAATGAATCTTTCGAACAAATATCAGAGACACGGTCGCGAGTGTATACGCATTCATATAGAATAATTCAAGCTTCAGGGCTTCGTGTTACACGGACAGCAGTAAAATCCAGACTGCAGAAACCTAGGATAAACAGGCAGGTAATACTAAAGACGACTCATGGATTCATTTAAAGCATTTTGTAATGAATTTAGCCAAACCTCTATGTCACCCCATCTGCACTGGAATGTGATACTGTAGGTGGGAAGGACTTAGCAGTGTCCTAATAACTCTGCTAAACATTGCGCTAGAGAGAGATTGTAGGTAATCTCTCCATAATCTTCCTAATTTATACAAGAACTGAGATATTACACAGTCACCCAAACAGAAGCAGATGATGGCCGAAAAGGATTACTGGCGGCATTCACTACTTCAAATGTCATTCACACTTTAAGATGAGCAATGTGCACTTTTCTTATCGTCAGTTAACAAGATAAGTTTGTCATCTCTGCTCCCAAAGCCCTGCAAAAGTAATGCTATAAGGGCAATTCAAGAAAGCTGGATACCTAGCTTCTTAAGAAACATTTTCCCCCCCGTAATTGTAAATTTTCTTCCATGTAAATACGCCATACACAGATTTCAAGTTTTGGCCATTTTTTGTTTATGCAATCATGAATTTACTGCAATATATATCCTCATCGAGTTCATTTCAGGTTACTGTCCTGAACTCATAAAACAGTTCACGTAAATTTATATCCGAATATTTAGCAAGTTCCATTTCAATCTGTTACAGCAAACTAGAAAGTGAAACCAAACACTTTGAAAACGAGCACAACTTGTGAACTACACAGGAATTAGGGATTCAACAGACAGGCATAAGCTTTCATTTTGCTCTGGTACGACCCTCTCCCCTGTACCTTTTGAACTTCGTAACCTATTACGCCAGTCACTATTATTTCTGAAAATTGAGCACAAATCTGTTTCAGTTAGGGAATGACTGAAAACGATAGAATACCTTTCAGACAGCTGTTTTATCTTGTTTGGGACTGTCCAGTGGTATCCACACATAACCACACTACATACCAGGGATCCAATTCGCGATTTTTATCACCACTGCTATCGGCGAGTATATCTGCTCACAACCAACTTGATGGACTCCAATGGTCACGAAACCCCCACTAAAACTACAGGTGACTCCATTCGGTTGTCAGTTGGTAATCTTAATTGAAGTCAGTCAAACTCTTGCAAATCATCACTCGAAAATTAATCTGGTGTTGGCTTTTCTTCCTAGTGATCATAGCACTTTAAACTAGGCGACAGTTTGTATTTCATCCGAGTTCACAGCTACTTCCATAACTTATTACATTATGTTGACTTTATTTCACTTCTTCGTATAATAAGCTATTGATAATTACAAGATTGGTATTTATTTACACCAATCATAAATACAGTCTCATACACAGAGATATAAAATACTTTCACTGAAAATAGGCTGTCTCTATTTTTACGGAACTTAATTGTCTTTATGAGTTTAAAATACAACCTTAAGTTATGTTTGGATTTGACTTCAAAGTACTAGGAGGGCAAAAGCTGAACGACGAGTCGGTGGTCCAACGCTCACGAGCCACACATGTGGTCCAAGTTCGACTCCCGGCAGACCTACTCTTTAACACCGCCTAGCCGAATAATAAAGAGGGATGGTTAGGTGTGAGGCTAGCAGCAACCCTATTTTGTTACTTGAAACAAAACACGATCGCTTCTTAGCTTTCAAGACTTGAAGCCCTATGCTGCACTTAGAAGACAGACTAATAAAAAAAAGTAGAAGTTGAACAGCATAGTGTTAAAATATCGGGAAGATGAGTCTTCCTTAATGTTGTGATTATACTCTCAGTTACACAGCTTCTATATGCCAACAACGTAAATAAGTCAAATACACTACTTCTTACCTTCCCTCACCGCATTTTATGAGACAAGAAATAAAGAGAAAATCTTTTCACGATATTCATTGAAGAAAACAAATTCATCTGAAGACTGATTTTAAACACTTCAGGTATCATATGATCATTTATCCATTATTAGGAGAAAATAAAAGCACGACATGCACATACATACACACTTACGCACGCACACACACGCACATATCACGAGAAAAGAATTGGTTTTAACACATATGAACAGAGGTTTCCGACAAGACCAATGATCTTTCCTTCTCTCTGTTTATGTGTGGGGATTGGGGCATTAATTTTTGGGGAAAAAATAGAGGTATACTTCAGCGCTATGAGGGCGAAAGATAAAGAAAGAGAAGTCAAGAAACACAGAATGAAACACACACACACACAGAGATGCTCCCTCATATGGAATGAAATTATCTGAGTACACACCAGTGAATTTTATGTGTCATCATTTTCTCTCTAGCATATATAATATACTAATGCTTTACACATGTTCTAAAGAAAGTAACAAGAAATTACCATCACACCTTTGAAATTCGTATTGATGAAATTTCTCTGGAGAATAAATAAATTTGGCACATCTGTATGTGTGTGTATTGAGTAAGAATACAGTACTGAAAAAAGTACAACTAACTAAAGTTAATTTTATAATCTGTTTGACACTTAATACATGTGTATGATGCAGAAATGTGTAAACGAAACCAGTAAGAAAAAAATGTCTAAAGAGTAGAGAGATTGGAAGAACTTCCACTCTGTTGCTTCATTCAACTGTTATTTGATCATTATAAGCACTCAAGCATACACTTTTGGTAATACATTACCAACAGATCATTTACAGAACAAATCGACCCAAAAATAAACCAATAAGTAGGGCTAAAATTAAGTATAGTATTGGTGGGATATTGCTTAGGGCTCCGGTATTGATCGGATGATGACGACCACTGCCACCGGATTCTGTAGGCATACGGCATGTAGCTGAGACAGCTGTACGTCGTAAGTGAAGATCCGATTCCTGAAAATGAATGGAATTACAAACACAGCATAGAGTGAGAAAAAGATTATACATGAAGCTTTAGTAAAAACAATATTTATTTCTGACTACTCCTTATGTTGTTGTATTGAAAAGTTATCAAGGTAAACTAAACCAAAGAAAAAACAATTACAAATACACTTTTTGCATGAGCTAGTTACGCATGTAACACATGGATCCAGTCTAACCACACTTTGTAAAGGTATCTATCTTTAAAGCAACTTCAGGAAAGGGAAGAAAATATAAGTCATGAAGGGGGAAATTCAGACTTTACAAAAGCGGTCATATCAGAGCACTTCCGTAGGCGTTAAAAGACGTCAGCTATTTCGCTTTGTGCGATTTGGTATTATGATCAGTGATGACGTTACACAAATCTATAAACAGTTACTGATTTAAAAGAATCCTATCACAGCCAGAAAAATAGATGGTAACTGGAAGTCTAAATAATGCAACACTGTGTGAAACTGGTAACTGTACTTTATGCTAATGAAATGATGGGAATTGCCAAATTGAAATGTGCCTGTTAAGATTACGTGACTAAGGCATTGATACAGTCATAAACGAATGTTTAACTGACGTCCAGAATTCTCCAGATGTTTGGAATTGATATTTGCACTGTTGGTCACTAGAATCGTTTGGACTGGAGGATCAATACGCCCGCTACTATCTTCACGTTTTTGATTATTTTACTAAAGTTACCCTTTTTTACACCTATTTCTTCTCTTCTGTAGTGCCATTTCACACTTCTTCGCCATTTTCTAGAATTATATTTTGAATTGTGGCAAGTCAGTACGACAGACCAGTGCAGGATCTTACAAAATAAAATTAGTCGGACTTGCTGTATTCGAATAAAAAAACGGAATGACAGTACAATGAACAAATGTGTGTCAATAAAGGGGATAAATAAATAAATACTAGTGAGTGTTTAGAATTTCGAAAGTTATAAAGAGTGTATACACCACTATCCTAGATGATATAGTCAACAACTATTTAACCAGTGGGACTCCGGCCAGGCACTCTACGCTTTCTTACATGGGTTAGCCAACACGTAATATATCTCGTTTGAAATTGTTGTAAAACGGTTGAGTATACTAAGCACTAAATAACTGAGTTCTTTACAGGTAACCTGTTGAAGGAATAACAGGAGACGCATCACATTGTTTATGAGATATAGACTACCAACAAGACGTCTTAATGTTCTTCAGAAAATGTGTGTACCGTGCAAACAATCCCATCTGTGGCATAGCTGTTCAGTTATCCGTCAAGGAAGAATGAGGCAGTTAGTAAATTCCTGGTCGAGTTGTTCCTTACACTCTGTTTCTGTCTGGATTCAACATAGAACTTGGCACCGAAGTGCACCAGTTCGAGTTGCCACGTTCCAAATACCACACACACGAAGGTAGACAAGAAGATGAGTGAAGAGAATCAATAGAGTATGACAAGTATACGAGTGAAACAGAATGGGGGTAATGGTAGAAAGGAATATGAAAGATTACAGAGACTGAATACATCTGCGCCATTGACAACGACTTTGAGTCATATCACCTATTGTCTCCAGCCATTGATTCCTAGAGTCCCGAGGGCCCCAACCCGGAAGTCTGCATCTCCCTACCTGACGACTCAGTTTAACTGTCAAGGATTTCATGGATTGATGACATGTTTTTGTTTGGCCACCACTGGCTCTTTTCCAACCTACACCTATATCAGCTAGTAATGCCCGTTGTCGGGGGAGGCGATGGTTAGGCATGCTATGCTCCAAAGCCTCAGGATGGTCGGGGGTGGGTGCCTTGCGCTGCGGGTTGGCCACCCCTCCGCACACCTCTTGAAATGCTCCCATATGACCGGGCGTCTTACATAGCCTCTCCTGAGGAAGTCCTACTCACTGCCTTCACGTGGCGGAGGTGTTTCTCACCAAAGTGAGAGGGCGAAAGCGGATGCCCGGCGCTCTCCACCGGGTTGACTGTCCATTGGATGACAGTCTAGGGGAGATGGCTAAACCCTGATTCCAAACCTCCAACGACTGGCGTATGAAGCTCACCGGCAGACGTATGGACAAAGGGCTTGTTGGATGTCCTGGATGTCTGGCCCCATTCAAAAAGGTGTATGAACCGAACTCCGGTCACCGGCTGCCAATGGATAGTGGACTCCTTACTCCACTCCTACTGCCTTGTAGGTCACACTTGGTTGTGTAAAGGCTAGAGCTGCACTCTCAAACAAAAGGCCGAGCGATGCTGGGGACATCACTCGTACCAAATTCCCATGAAACTTCATGAACTCTCTTACAAATTGCCGCGCCTGGGCAGCGATGATTCGAGACGTTCATGAAGCCGGTTCATCCTCCCGTAGGAGATAGCCGAAGTAAAGTAAGTAAGTAAGTATGCTATGAAGACGCAGACCTGCTAAATTATAGACACCAAGAGATGTGCCACACAGAAACATGCGGCTTATGCTGGGGCTGGTATACTACCCGGACGCTGAGACCAAAGTAGGTGGTTGTCGTAAGATGCCAACCCCACTCTTTGACTTGAAGTCTGATCCACAAGGCAGTGGATTAGTGTCAAGAGCTGTCCCCATGGCTATCTGTGACATAAACAAGTTCATACGCTATTCGATCCTTTCGGGTTCTGCAGCCTACGTACACACACTCCTCTAAGCAGATAACTGCATGTCCACCAGTAAGCGCCGGACATTCGCATTTACCCCCTACCGCTACCTCGTGAAGGCAGCGAATAGTACTTACTTGACAGAGGCTATGAAGGCGTGATTATATGAGAAGATTTAGAGAGGAGGTCCAAAGTCCATCCACCAGTGACAGTAGCAGATCATTTATGGGGCAAAATGTTACTTTAAATCTCGAAACACGTTGCAACTGTATCAAATGCCATTATGATTTATACTGGCTCGGCAATTAAATTCTTATAAAACATCCGCAACATTGTCTGAGTAGATGTCCTTTGAAACTAACTAACTTATAGTCTCGAATGTATGGCTTTAGCTTGATATTTGGAGACTAAGCCTCTTAGAACAAAGAAACTGAATAATGATCCCGTAGGAAACAAAACGACTTTGTCTCATAAAACACTTGGTTTGGATGAAGTTAGATTACACTACTAGTTTCAAACCATGCTTATTATTTAGTTATATTTGGTGGTTGTTTTGCATTAAAGATTTGCCAAAGCAAGTGCGAATAATATGGAACTTGTCATAAAATTGAATCAGTTTAAGTAACCACAATCAGGGATAAGGCAAAAAAGATAGCAGTGAATTAACATGTATGGAAGTGAGAATAATAAAATGAAAATTTGTGAGTATTTTAAATAAACCTACAACGGTGTCACAGTGAACAACTAAGAATCTTTAACCAATGTCATAGTATAACGAGAGTTTCATCCAAGCAACAAAGCTCAGAAAAACAGCTGCGTAATGTGGATAGTCTCCATTATCTAGTCTAACCACCCGTGACAATGATCGTCGAGGAAGGTACCTGGTTGTAGGTAACATGTCAACCACCTCAGTCAATAAAGATTTTCTACGTCACTAGGTGGTTCGCCTTCTCAAAAAATTTTAAGAATTTTAATCATATTTAGCACTTGTTTCCATCTAACATTATAAATGCTGCGAAGACACAATCGTAAATCTAGCATTCATGAACTCGTTTTTAGCAGAATATTCAACATTAATGTACACTATACTCATACTTGAATATGTGGGTGCCTGTTCCGTCCACTCTAGCAACTAAGCAGATAGTCAATTATACAGTTTTTCTGTATTCATCTTGAGACTCCACCAACAACTACACAAAAAAATGAAATTGCTGATCTATTTGATAACATAATTTCGTCACTATCAATTAACAGTTGAGACATCATATTAAACTTCCCAAGGACCGCCAGAGTACCAATCAGATTTTGACTCAGAGCATCCATAATATTTCATCTTACTAATGTCTTGTTCACAAAAAACTTGATACAGCCAAGCTTTATGCGGTGTAGTAAGTCCACTTTCTAAATGTCCCAGTCAGTAAACCCTATCATTACATCTGCAGCAAGTCGAATACACGGCGGAGTGAAACACCGCGATGCACACGGCATACAATGTCGGCACTTTTTCCATAACCAGATACTACCATAATATTCTATAGTGCTGAAAGAAACTACTTTCAGAATAATTAATGGAGCCAATAAATGTGACTGTCTTCCCCAGCAGGTAACATGCGACGGAAACCAAAACTGTGCATACATATTTAGAATTACTCATTAATATGGAAACTTAATAATGGTGTTGAAAGTCTATGACATCAATATCCTTATGTCAGTTAGAAAACATTTGTTTATGTGTTACTTACCACATTAAACCAAAATGGAATTAAGATATCTAGCATAATATACTTACCTTAAGGGCTGCATTTTCTCTGCGAAGTGCAGATACCTCAGCCATTAACGCCTCAATATCAGCTTTCGTCATGCCAGTATCATGCACAGGTTTCTGAAAGTATTATTTAAGTGGAATTTTTTACTCACCGATGACGTGTGTTCATGTTTGCTACTCTCTATCTTGTCCTCCTAAAAATACTAAATAAAAAGTAACACAACTTACGATGCCTGTATTTTTGAATATGCATTTCAAGTAGTAATCTGTCACCTTCCCTTCCTTAAACAATGCCTTTTGATTAAAGTTTTAGAAATAAAATCCTACTGTTTGATCTTTCTTGGGATCTAACCCTTCTGAGCCGACAACAGATTGAATCAAGATCCTTTCGCGACTTTTAGCCATAAAGTCAAAATCATGGGGTCGGAATACGACTAGAAAAGTTACTACGAATATAGACACTTACCGGACAGCTCGGAATTCGCACCAGGCGGTAATACGCTAGTACTAGGAGTAGCTGAAAAATATTCTGGGGATGATGCACTAATCTTAAAGCAGATATATTGTGAAGAAGGGTTGGTAAGTTTTATGATAGAGGTAACGGGTTTTACAAAAGGACCTAAGAAAATCAATGCAAACTGATATGCTGACTTGCCTTCGAAGACCAGATCTCGACTAGGTTCGACAAGTAGTTCGTCGGGCATACGCAAGAGACAAAACAGACGTGAATCCATCAGTTTGCTACGTGGAGCATCTTTCCACTTAGGAAGTAAGGATTTAAGTACTTCGTAAAACCTACCAGGACTTCCATGGAAGGCCGGGGGCCATCAGGAACAACGATGGATTGAATCATAAACTTGTGGTTGAATTTCTCAGCAGCATTATAACTGAACGGCTGAAGCATCACTAGAGACATGAAGAGTTTTATCCTAACTAACCTGCAACGTCTATCATCTGATGTGGCTCAATATATCCATTGCTTGGCTTTACACAGTAGCACTTTGGAACAGTTGTTTTTATCTTGAAACCAACTGGCTTATCCAGAGGATTCCTCATTTTGATGTGAGAAGTTATCACATCGGTGAAGGGACCTAAAGAAAACAGATTATTCGGTGTCAAGCAAAGGTGGCAAAAAAAAAGAAACAATAAACTACATGTTTGCGGGACATACCTACAAATATCAGCTCATTTTTCGGCTCAATCTCTAGTACTTGCGCAGAACCACCAGACATTTGTACACAAACCCTTAGGACCGTGAAACCGAAAGTTGCCACCCACCAACTCAAATTCGTGCGCAACAAGTGTGACAAGGAAAACACCAGCAATAGTAAGTCAAACTAGATAAATCAGGATGATTATAATAATAAATTTTCGACATTGCATAATCGGTGTCTGAAACTCACTGCGTTCAATGTTCAATTGATTCTGGTGACCGATTAATATGATTACATAGGTAAACAGCTGCTAAGATAGCAAAAACATTAACTGGTATCATTTCTCTTTCCGTATTTTGCAAGATGAAAAAGAAGACTGACGAAAGTTAGACTGTTAAATTTTCGGATCTCGATTGTTTTTGGTTTCGTCTAAATATGTAACCCCTGAGGAAAATATAAGTCCTTGTTTCGTCTCCTGTCTGACTCTCGGCTTTTGCACTCCAGATTCAGTGTCATCAGAATAAAATTCAAATTTTTTTATCGAACTACTCATCCTACTCATCCTACCTGTGTGCGTCGGTGGCACAGTGGTTAGGACTCTCGCCGACCATGCACATGGTCCGGGGTTCGAGCCCACGCCGGCGCACACCTGATATCTATGGTCGGCCTGCAAAATTTGGGCTACCGATATCCATGCTGAAAATTCCATACTTGTACCAAAAATACAGTGTGGAATCAAGCTGTAAATCAAAAATAAAATTAAAAAAAATATATTTAATGGATGTGTCCCCACTAAATTTGATTCCCTTCCTTTGAAAGCAGCATAGGATCACCAAGCTTGGAAGGCACTCGCTAGTGGCTTTAACAAATGCAATCTTCAAGGGAGCATTGTTTAATAACAGTCGCAATGCATTCGGTTTTAAATGTGATGAGATGAAGTGGCGCTAAGGTGTGAAAATCAACTTAAGGTCATAAAGGGTGATTATAAGACAGTAAGTTGTAGAACACGTATATGTGAAGTTCTATATAAGGTTTGCTAACAAATAATGCGCCAGTGGCTGGTTTTTGAGTAAACTGAGTGAGGGAGTCAGATAAAATAGATACTCAAGTGAGGGACGAGGTTGTCATAATGACTCCTGGTGCCTTCATTCTGTGGACCATCATACTATTATCTTTTATACATACGCTTTTGCGAAAGGTTCCAGAGAAAGTCTACTTAGCTATAGATATATCAGTTCGACACTGTTTCATTTGAGCAACGGAATGTCCAGATTAACAATGCTAGTTATTATGACAATGAATTAACAGACTCCTTGAATAAATGGGGTTTTTTTCGAACCGAGTCTCAGTTTTGTTACCCACCAACGGATAATCTAATTATGATTTTGACAATAAAGTCCCAAATCAAAACCGAGAGACCCATTTAACAAAAAGGTAGTGAAGATGAGACAAAGCTTGGTTTGGATGTAGTAACATAAATTTTACTGAATAGTTGGCGAAGAAGGATAAAAAGAGCTGGGCCTTAGTTTTTGTATTCACATGGTATCCGGAAAAATCTTATGTGTAGAGCATAAAGAAAAAATTTCGTCCCTTACTTAACCAGAGTTAACTAGGTTTCCTTTAGACTATATCCATTTTTAGCTTGAGGTACACTAAAGTGGCTGAGCATTCACAGTCATTATTAAAGTGCGGTCTGAGCAAACGTCAGTTTATTTGAGGCTCCTATAATTCTGGGTGCTGTTGCCATTCAGATTTAGTGAGCAACTGAAGAACTCACAAGGACAGGACCAGTAACCTATCGAGAATTATGTCTTTATTGGTTGTAAGGCTTCCACCAATAGCTGTGTCGGGAAAATTTACTGTAGCCAGAAGATAACTTTCCGGAACTCAGGATGCTATTTTACACACATAACAACCAACTCAATTTTAATACAATCCGTATTAAAAGGCAGGCATTAAGTGGAAGTGGAATTGATCAGCCAAGTACAATCCCATATGGCTAGTTAGTTACATAGAGGCTTGACTACGTATTTCACAGGTGGTTACTATCAATTCAGTAAAAAGGTTATAGTTGTATTACTCCAAGGTTTTGTCAACCAGTAGATGTGTAGGTCATGCCAGGGATTATCACATCCGACGAGCAGGAAAGAGGCTAGAATATAGAAGTTTATTAAACGTCCAGCAAATGTTCACCATCACTGACGGTTTCCTTTATCTGCCGAATGATGAATTCTCACTCTATTTGTTTTACTAGATTTTCCGCTTCACTTGCTTTATGCTGCGCTCTCGAAAATAGTTGTTTAAAAACACCATTAATCCTGTACACAATTAAGACCTGTTGGTCGGTAATTTGAATAATTATTCTGACTGCAAAATCATTCCACAAATAATTTCTCATAATAAACCTAGTTAACACTTAAGGCTTCGGAGGTTAATAAAGGAATTAATTTGTTATTTTTAACTCTGTGGAGTATTAATATACAAAGTTCCTTCTGACATCTTCAATCGTATTTTCTTCCTTATATTTAGAGGAGAGCCGGGGACCAGACCTTCGAGGATTTTGTTTTAACATCCAGCTTTAAATGGAGGCTAAACATATATGATTCTCTGCACATGTTAGGAAATCATGCATTGCTATCAATGCGATTTCTAAACAAGAGAGTCGTCATGCTCCGTTATCCCGCATTCAGTTACAAGCCTGATATTCACCTTCTCAGAAATCAACTGTTGTTACAACTTTCAGGTCTTGGCGTAAAGAATCTTAGACGATGCGGTTCTTCACAGTCCTAGAGTCGTCTTCGATATCGGTTAGCGGCGCTGTGAAGACCAAGCTTTTTCGGTGCCTGAAAACGTGCTTCTCGCTCTCATAGACGGACCCAATTTTAAAAGTTATATTTATTTGTTCGAGGTAAACTTAGGAAAGATCTAATCAAAAGGCGCCCTGAAGCGACTTTATTACCGCCGTCTTTATAAATCCACGACTTGACGAACGGAAGAAATTTGGAGAAGATGCAAAACAGCTGCGTATATTCGTAGTGTGAGAATTCAAGCGTTAAAATTACGTAAAAAACTATAGAATACGAAAGTGATCTGTGATAGATCAAGTGAGTGGTATTAGCTATACGCGAAAAACTGATGCACTTAACGACTATGAAGGTGAGCAAGTGGTAGATATCCAAGTGCTCTCAATAGAGCCTATCACAAGTTTTTAAGATTTTTCGCAAACCACCCAAAATATTATCCGCTACACGATGAAAAACTGACATTCCAAGTTCTGTGAAATTTACTAACATCAGCCCTCCCGAAATTCTACTAACTCGGATTTGAAGTAAACTCTGCGAAATGACGGTGCCGTGAGGGAAGCTATTTCTTGGCTTTACTTGCTGTTACACTCCCCTGTCAGTATGTCTTACAGGATATCTCGCCAGCGTCATTGGATTTAACTGGCTCTGGGCCAAAAACAACTGCCTGTAGTATATTTGTACAGGTTTCTTGAAACGTTCCATTTCGTTGTTTGCATTCTCCTCACTTCACTGATCAATTGGAATCCAGCTGGTTGTTGATTATTAAAGCATCGATTATTCAATCAATGTAACCTGCGCCTCCCAATTTCGAATATATCTAATCTATAGACGCGCAATTTCGGTACATAGTTTTGGTTGGTTGGTACAAGGCAATAAACGCACTCTACCCCAACGGGTTTTTATACCCTTATGGTCTCTTCTGTCGCGTATTTGGTGTTGTCGTGTAGTGTAGTCGTTGTGGATGATATTACGAATAGTAATTGGCACAGTTAACTCAAGAAGTGCCAGGTGTATTCATGGTCATAACAAGCATATAATTCAATGCTTGCTCCAATGTGCCCTGGTTACTGTATTATTTGGGGGCATAAAATGTTTTAAAATTGATTTCAGTAGCATAACGTGTGAACGGGTCGAGAAAAACTGCTATATTGACTGCCTAGGACGCAGAATAAGATCGGAATTTAATACTATTTGGAGTCATAAAACCGACGGGCACTTCAGAAAATTAAAAGTTACTTAAAATTTGCGAATAGACTGCTTATCAGTGCTGCGATGGACATTTATGCAATTTTATAAATAAAATGCCTGTGGAAGATCGAAAATATACCCGCTAGTGCACTACTGAGGTGGGAGAATAGAGGCACAGAAGAAATGAATCAGTCAACACAAGGAATATCATGAAAAATCGTTTCCACAGTAGCTCTACCATAACTCAGTATATAAGGAAGCCCACATGAATCCTCATGGACACAGCATCCCAAAAGTAGCAGCCTGTGAAGGTCACACCCTGCTGAGGCGAAAACAAAACGATAAAAAATTACCTAATGAAAAGTGGAAAATATTAACAAAGTACGACAGCCCTCCTTATTAAACAAATTCCTAATTTTAATTGAACCTAGCTCATTACTCTTTCAACAATCAGTTCGTTTATTCTAGAACTTCTCAGCTTGGCGTGATCCGTGTTGATTCAGACAATCCTTGATCGAAATGCCTGCTGGGTGACGGAAGGAGGGAAGTAATATAGGTGAGTTTCGATTCACCCCAGTTTTTATCAGTATTTATCACTAAACTGTCATAAGCTTCAGCCTGGCATTAATTTTCTATTGGAGCTAACATCTTTTGTCTTATTGCATTGGGAACGCTCAGCTTAATCTTTTCAACCTATTTTGCTCAACACCACTCAGTGTCCTAGATAATAAGAAGTTACATGTCAGTGTTGTTGAACATTGAATTGATGTCCACTTACCTTACTTATTCGAACTACATCTGTGGAGTACGTAACAATATGATTGTATACTTTTTGGTTATTTGTAGAAATTAGAGATATTGTACGTGAGTTTTGTTTAAAACGCTTGTTAAAATATATATAACTTCCGTGTACATTTGAAAATACACTTGGCTGTTGGGGACTTCACCTCCTCTCTGGTTATTTCTGCTTACTTGCTCAACTCATACCGTGTGGTATACTTCGGATTCATTGTAGGAGTCTACTACCCTCAACCGAAGACGATTCTACAACCGGAACACAGCGGCTACAGCAGACGCAACCCAAACAATTAACGTTCCCGTGGATTATGTAAATAATTTGTAGCAGGGGACTTAAACTTTATATCCAAGTAATCCTTTTTGTTGATATAATTCGTCACTGCATTTTTGGTAGTACGTTGTTGTTTAACATTTCATTGACTTGGATTATTATTTTCATATTTGTAATATTAGTGAACTCTAG